ACCTTCTGAAGAGCACTTGGTGGGAGTGGTGGTGGAATGAGACAGCTTCTCATCTAATCCAGTGCTGCTGTCTGAACCCAGGGCTCTGTGCATGGTAGACAAGCACTCTTGTTGACTGAGCCCAGGGCTTTGTGCATGGTAGATAAACACTCTTGTTGACTGAGCCCAGGGCTCTGTTCGTGATAGACAAGCACTCTTGTCGACTAAGCTACATCCCTAACTTTTGGAGCTCTTTATTCAAAAGTGGGTCAGCCAGGACAGCCTTTCAGGGGATTAACTAATGGGATTAGCTTTGCATTGACAGAAATATTAATGGCCTCTCCTAGATGAGGTCTCCTAGGTAAGGCAGATGATGAGCCAGACAGTGCTCCTTAAACTTGAGGCAGAGAGCCAACTCTGGGATTCTACACCTGTAACTGGGATTTTAGACTCAGCAAACTCCTAAAGGTGATCTATAAATCCACAAGGAGGTGTGGGTTTTCTAATTTATGCAGACTTAATCCAAGGGATTAATATTGAAAGAAAAAAAGCATATGACATTTAAAGGAACAGTAAGTTGTACCACGCTAAACACACTGATATACACCGGCAAAAGCAGAGACTCCAGACAAAGAGCTCATCAGGCTGGGGATGCAGCTCAGTCAACAGAGTGCTTGTCTAGCATGCACGAAGCCCTCCCTGGTTCAAATCCCAGCATTGGACTAGATGAGATCCTGTCTGAAAACTAAACTTGGCATTTCAAAGAGTTAGAAAATGTTCCTAACAGTTTGTTTGACTGGAACATGGATCAATCAAGCAAATTGGAGATGTTTAGGGACTGTTACCATGTAATTATCTGTTAGCTATTAGTATATGGCAAGGGTCCAGGAGACTACCATGCCGGCCTACGTATTTAGGTGTGCTTTATGAGGTTTTTAAACAGCTTCCTATGGGACATTTTTTCCATCCTGATAACTGACAGGCCCATTTGGATTAATTCCAAAGGGAGGGGCAATGTACATTTTCACTCTTTGCCAGAAAATCTTCTGTTTGATAGTTCTCTAATAATATCCCTAGCAGTTCATCATGTCGTGTCTCCATTCAGGGCCTGAGAAACAATACAGATCCCCTTCTTCTGACCAAAAGTAATACCTACAGGGCATGTTAGAATTAAAGGAAAATGTATATGAATGTGTAAGAATAGTGATGTTCTGCCAGGAAGAACCTTCTAATGGGCCTCAGCAAAGCCCTTGTTGCCTCCACTGTCCTTCTGTATGGTATTTTAAGTTTTAAGAAGTGGCATTGTAATTATTCTCTGCCCTTTAGTATTGCAAAGTATAATAAACAATTATAGTCCTTGCCCTGCCCTTAGTATCACCTGCAAAACTGAAGTGTTGTCAGGAACATGGAAGATAGGCACTTGATTAGGTCATCCTGGATGACCTTCAGGCCTTATAGTTTCACGACTCTTAAGAGAAAACTTATTGCAAAAGTGCCCCAGAAGTACGTGGCTTCAAGGCAATGACTACTCTGCCATAGCATTTAATATAATTAAACTAAGCTTTCTCTATGATATTTGGGTTTTTTGAAACAGCGTCTTGCTGTGTGATCCAAGATGGCCTTGAATTCCTGGAGTTCTTCCCATCTTAGCCTCCCAAGTGCCGCCATTACAGGCATGCCATTGTGGATTTAAAATCTAAGTACTATGGGTTTTTCAAACCATTAACTGAGATTGTATTTAGAACAACGTTCTGCAGGTGCTTTTCTCTTCTGGCACGTGATAAAGCAGCCTGTAAGTAGTCAGGATGCTTTTCTAAGGATTAGTAGCGTGATACAAAAAGGCGTCTCATAATCTCCCCGGAAGTACTCAGAGTAGAAAGGAAGACAAGAGAAGCATTCAAACATGAGCTCAGCTTTATGCTCACAGGTGAAACCATCACCCAGGCGAGTACCACAGAGCAAGGTGAGGCGGCCGATTCGCGCATGCAGTGATATAACCTCGTGGGGTTGGAGAAACCATCACCCAGGCGAGTACCACAGAGCAGGCTGAGAAGGCTGATTCTCGAATGCAGTAATATAACCTCGTGGGGTTGTAGTCAGTATAAATAGTTTAAGCTCCACAAAAGGCAGCTTCAATACATTTCCATGCTACACATCACTGGGAAAGATGACCAAAATTCCAAACAACAGCAGGCTTCCAAGGACGGGCACACCAGCAGCTGCTCCCAAAGGAGGGTCAACACAGGGCTAGGAAGAAATACAGTAACTCAGACGTAGGAACCAATACCCTTGTAGCCAAATGCTATTGATATTGTTATGGATCAGATTCCTCCAAGAGTACAGTGAGGAGAGGGGATGGCCCTGCACACATCATCATAAGCTGGTTAGAGTTTGGGTACTTAACAAATAATTATCCCATTATTCCTGAAATTTCAGTAGCAGCAATAAAGTCAGAGAAGTTGAATAATGAGATAAACAATGCTAAATATGTTAAGTGTCCCTAACATGCAGGAAATTGAAGTTAGGTCCGGTTCTTCCAGCCCCATGCTCCAAGAAATAAGACTCAGACTCCAAATATATTTACAAATACCTTGGCCTGATAGCTAGGCTCTACTCTGACTAGATCATACCTTAGATGACCCATTTATTTTAACCTACATTCTACCACATGGCTGGTTACCTGTGCTCAGGTCCCATGCTTCCACATCTCTTCACATCTTCTCCAGCAGAGCTTCCCGTGCCTGGCTCTATGCTCCTTTTCCTCCCAGATGTCCTACCTTTCATTTCCTGTCTAACCCATAGACCATAGGCTTTTTAATTGACAAGTGATGCATCCATACAATACACAAGCTATTCTGCTTATGCGGGCTGCCAGAAAATTGCCTGTCTTGGATAAGCCAAAAAGGAAAAGAGACAAGGTAATTCTTCATATAGAAACAGACTGATAAATACTCATCTAATGCCACATTCACCCATTGAAGGACAAAGGAGCAATCCAAAAGTAGAGTCTTGGGCTTAGAATATAGTTTCCTGCTGTGCTACCATGAATGTGCCTAGTCTTGTCTGATCTGGGAAGTTCAGCATCAGGCTAGGTTAATTCTTAGGTGAGAGGGCACATCACCACGGGCTACAGCCTTGAAACCTGTTGGAATTGCCGCCCTTGAGTTTTGAAATTTATTGATCCCTGTGACCCATGAACAGGAATTTTATACCCTGCATCTTAGACTTGCATTACCAAGGGACAAAAAAAATAATGTCTTCTAGTTTTACAGGTCTGTAGATAGAGAGGACTTTCCCCAAGACTCATTAACATCTGACTTAGATGGTTAAAATAATGACAACGTGAAGCTTGGAGTTGATACCATAATGGATTGCAACTCTAGCATTTTGAGATAACTATATTTTACATGGAGGACGAGTTGGGCCAGAGAAGACAGGGAAGGAAGGCTGCTACCTCTCAATATGTCCATATCTCATCTCTGGAAACTAGTCCCATATTATCTTTAATGACAAAAGGGACTTTGGCAGATGAGATCAAGAAAAGACTTGAAATGAGTTATCCTTGGTAATTCAATGTAACCACCAGAGTCCTGGTAAGAAGGACACAGGGCAGTCAGAGGCAGAAAGCAAAAGAAGAGGTCACAGTGGCATGAAGTCATGATCCAAAGAGTGAGGCACCTGTGAAAACTGATAAAGGCAAGAAAATAGGTTTTCCAGAGCCACCTATGTTAGCTTTCTCTGAAAGAAATTAAGGAAAAGTATATTTGGGCTTATGGTTTTGGAGACCTTGAGTCCATGGTCCATCCTTTCTGGGTCTGTGGCAATACAACACAATAGCAAGAGTGTCTGGTGAAGGAGACTGCTCACCTCATGGTGGCCAGGGAACAGAAGAGCCAGCAACAAGACCCAACTTTCCAAAGCATGCCAACAACTAGGTTCCTTGCCTCTATGTTTGTATAACTTCTGTTAGTCCATTAAACTAGGAACCCGTTAACTAATCCATAATGAGCTCAGAGCCCTTTATGATCCAATTATATTCTTCTGGGATTCTTCCTACCTCTGGTCACCGCTATGCTGGGGACCAAGTCCTCAGCCCATGAGCCCTTGGAGGACACTGCAGATATAAACCAGAACTTTTCTAAAGGGAACACAGCCACATGAATTTTAGCTATCTGGGACCGGTTTTAGACTTGTGTACTAGGATGATAAAATAAGTTCATGTTATTTAAAGACATGGTCTGCCCTAATATAACAGCAATGGAAAATTAATTGAGAACCAACATCCCTGTGATACACCTGTAGCCTGCTGGGCTGAATAGAAGTTCTTGGTCTTGCTCAGAGATTTTGTGTCTGCTGGAAGCATTTCAGGGACTGAAAGAGCCTAGCCTCTTCATTTGTAAGAGGTTGTAAATTATTAGGTTTTTCATGGTTCTTAATATTTAGTGCTTAAAATTATGATACATTCAGGGACATTCTTCCTTCTGTTTAGGACTCCAAGTCCTCTTCTGCCTAATTAACTTCATAATATGGTATCTCTTGAATAGCTTTCATCCATAATTAAGATGTAGTCCATGAGATATATATATATATATATATATATATATATATATATATATATATATATATATATATATTGAAAGAATTGTGTTAATACACAGGTTAGTAAGATCAATCTTGTTGCATTGTGTAAAAATATACATGGAGGTAAGCATGCCTGTATCTGTAAGAATTCGTTAAAGTGGCTTTATACTATACTAACTAGTTCATGTTTTGTTCTACTACTTCATGTTAGTCTCTTAAAGTAGCATACTTTCTTTAGAAGACATTATGGGAAAGGGATTTCCTTGGGTGGACTTGTTCCCAAATGAAATGCCTGTATGGCTCTGAGTCTAGGATCCCCGAGACACTATTAGCATACACACATTCTCAGAAATCAGGAGGCATTTTAGGCACAGTGTAGAATAGTTTCTTAGAGGAATAAAAACTTGCCTTTGTGAAAATCAAACCAGAAAAAAATCCTGTGCGATCAAATGCATTTATTTTGCAACTTAAGCAAGACAAATGGTGAACTAATTCATAGAGAAGATGCCACTTGGAGATTAGCAGCTGCTCATGCATACAACTCTCTGTGTGCAAGATGGAGTTGTTTCTGACACCAGCAAAGGGTTGCTTCCTTTGTGAAATGAACATCATGTTACTCACATTAACATCAGCACAGTCCAGAACATCTGCTACTGTGGCACAACCAACCACTGACCCTCTCAGCTCCAAGCCAGGCAGCTGACACCTTCACATCTGCCACACAGATCATGGCAAGTAATATCTTCTTGTTCTGAAGCCAAACAGTTCAGAAGTGTGAGCACAGGGATGCAAACACGGGCACACCCAGAAGGGACCCACATCAGGCAGATGACAATCTGCCCTACGATTTTTTGAGAGCACAAATGCTTGTGAAACATTTAGGCTGGTACTCACTGGAGTCAAAGCTGCCCCCGTTTAAAACCAGGGTGGGTGGAGTTCTTCACATAAATTGCTTCAGCATAACTCAGAAACACTGTCGACAGTGCATGTGAATCTCCTGGTAAAGGTTCCCTAACTCAAGTGTGACTCCGTGAAGGGCTGAGCGAAGGGAGGGTACCAAGACCCGGAGAAGCTGCCATGAAAGCCAGGATGCCAAGTTCTATTTACTACTGCTTATGTGTTTCTTAGCTTGTCTCAGATGCTACGTCTGAATGTCACAAAATTTTAGAGCTGGGATAGGTCATCTACTCCAGACAGGCCACCTTACCTGTAAAACCATGGCAGTCCAGAGAGGCAAAGCAGCTTATTATAGGCAGAGAATGGTAGGAAGGGGCTAGATCGGACTGCAGTGATCTAACCCTCACCCAGGAGGGAGCACAATTGCATACGTGGCTAATTGTTTCAATAAAGAAGCTTTAATACTGTCGATGCATTTTCAATCCAAAAAGAAAAAAAAATCATCCCCCCAAATCAAAATGGTGCCTTCCATCTCCAAATTCTGCCCCTCTATCTCTATATCCCAGTCTTAGCCTAGGCCTTAAACTTTAAGCATCATCCTCTCCCCCTCACCTCTTCTCTCTCTCTCTCTCTCTCTCTCTCTCTCTCTCTCTCTCTCTCTCTCTCTCTCTCTCTCTTTCTCTCTCTACACACACACACACACACACACACACACGAGTGTAGGTAGAATGTGGTTTCTTGCTGTACAGAGACAGACTACATCCTCAGGAAGGCACCCACAAGTGTCTCTCAGTCCAGGTCTATACATGAAGTTTGGGAAACCGGCTTATTTTCTAGAAGAACAGGTGGTTCTGAGATCAGAAGATCATCCTCCCCAAAGGAGTTCTGGTCTGTGTTCACCAAGTTGGGTATGTCAAACTGCATAAACCTAGTTAGCTCATCCTCAGGCCTCCCACGGCTTCTGATGGCTTCCTGCAGGTGGACATCACTGTCGATGGCTGTTGTTTGGTGACAAACTTTAACCCTGTCCAAGTGTTCCACTTCATTGATGTAACAGTGGAACAGAGATCTGGACTCCTCATTGCCCTGACGAGAAAACACCTTGTCTGACTCCAGGGGCTTCCCAAAGTCTGACACAAAGCTGTTCATTCGGAATCTCTTCTCTGAGGACTCCGCATTGCTGTAAAGAAAAGAAGGAGAGGTCACAGCTCTGCTGTTCACATGCCTACAGCTTCATGCTGTCCTGCATAGAGGCCAGGCCAGGAGAGTCCCAGGAAGCACCTACTGGGTGTCTCTTACATTATGCAGACCAGCACGAGCAGTGAGGTACATCACTTCTGAACACAGGACCTCCAAGGCAAAAACCTCCAAATGAAAGCCCCTAGATTTTCCTGACGGCAGATAGGGTACAGAACCCCCAGCACTCTGTAAGCACTCCAGTGATTCATACATCTCCTGAACTGAAATCAGTTTTTAGTCTTTATTTCATGCTTATGCATATGTGGCATGTGTGTTTGTGTGTGTAAATGTGTGTGCAGGTATATGTGGAACCCAGAAATCCACATTCAGTGTCTTTTTCAATAGTTTTATTTTTGCTTCATTTTATTCCTTTTATGACACAGGATCTTTCACTGAACCTGGAACTCACTGGTTCATCTTAGACTTGCTGTCTAAGAAGAACCAGGGAATCCTCCTGCCTCCACCTTCCCCATATTGGGATTACAGTCACATGCCATACACTGGTTTTTCATGTGAGTTTCCAGAATCCAAAATTCAAGTCCTCAAACTTACATGGCTATCGCTTTAGCAACTAGACCATCTCCCAGCCTTGCATCAAAGTCAAACTAGGTGCCGCTGAAGATTCAGAGTCCTAGAATCTCTGGAGGTAAACTCAGTAATCAGCATTTCTATAGAATCCCCAACAATCATTGCTGTAGTGATGTTCAACGTCACAAGCCTATCATACAGCACAGTGCTACAGCCCTGCCAGTATTTGCCAAGTTGCTTCTTTCCTCTGGGCCCCCCATCTCTGCAAGAAACCTTTTACAACATTTCTGATCCAGTCTAGGTGCTCTGCAGGGACCCCGTGAGCTTCTCCCCATTTATCTTCCTCACTGTTTTATGCCCATTTCTCCACTTCTCTGCCACCTGCTTCAGCTCTCCAAGACCAGAATTGTACGCTTCTTGCCTACATTCCCAGTGCCCGGAACAGCAGTAGGTATATACTCATCACTCCGCATGTTTCTGTTAGACGAATGAATGAATGAATGAATGAATGAACACATCAGTCATGAGGAGATCTGAAATTAAAGCAAATCTTGTCTTGGCAAGATGCCTCTTCTACAGATCCTACAGGCTGGAAATAAATTCAAAGTCATGTTCGGCTACAGCCTAAAACTAGAAGCAGATGTACCTGAATGGACGGATGATTAGCACTAAGTGGAGCCTCCAAAGACAGGGATACAAGAAGTCTAACAAGTCAGTTCCATGCAGGTCTCTTCTCTGCCTGAATTTAGCTACAGGAAACCACCTTGTCTCTGCTCCATACTTCTCCAAGAGCTGCTCAGTCATCTGCCACAGGGCTTCCTCCCCAGGGTGCTCGGCAACTACAGACCATTTGGTACTTTCCACCTTCCACAACTGGCCAGCCGGGTGGTTGCATAGGCTCAGATACCATGATAGTGGTGGGCTATCTTCCTGCTAATTGTTAGAGAGAATGGCCCTCAAAGGAGGTAATAAAGACCTTGTTGTTGTGTTCAACATTACCACACAGCACTGCAGTTTACAAAGTTTGTGTTCAAGAACCTTGGGTAACAGGTGAGAGAGATCATACAGCAGCCAAAGCAGGCACTGACTGTTCTTCCAGAGAACCTGAGTGCTTGGGACTACCTGTGACTCCAGATCCAGGGACCTGACACCTTCTTCTGGTCTCTATAGGCACCTGTACATACATACATACATACATACATACATACATACATACATACATACATACATACACATACACACTCATAATTTTAAAAACTTCAAGTTACAAAAAAAATATGTTTTAAGTAAGTTTGCAATATCGTGGGCCACATACATAGCAGTCTTCAGCCACATATAGCCTATAGGCTTCAATTCTCAGAGGCATGCTAGAGGGTCTTAAAGCAGCCTGGCCCTCACTGAGTCATAACTGTGAATACTCTCAGGTAGTTAACACAGGACCTGTCCAAAGATGCTCTCTGACAAGCAGCTGCACCCTACCTTCAGTTTTGAGGAAAGAAATACATGCATTATTGCTAGGATTTATAAAATGTGTGCCTGTGATGGCCTGGGTACCATTACACAGGTTCTATGCTCTCATGACAGAAGAGGGCCAGCTGTAGCTTTAAACTCTCAAACTTGGAGGTCCTAGGGAAAACTAAGCTCCCAATATCTATAATAGCACTTAAATAGCAGGTTAAAAGATGTTTAAAACCGGCTGACTCTCCTGTGGCTCTGGCTAAACCTCTGAAATACACAATTACAAGGCCCTAACATCTTAAATTCCATGTTAGCTAAAATTATATCTAAAACCAGAAGCCTCAAGATTCAAGAACTGGAACTTTGATAGGGTGCACTAATGGTTGGTACCATCTTGAAAAGAGAGTGTTCAAATACTGTTCCCCAGAAAATGTTATCCCCAAGAATCCTAGCACTTTCCCCATTTGGTACAGTTCACACCCACTGTGTGTTCTGCAGCCGAGATCTGGCTTGAGTATTTAGAAGTCCTCCCATGTCATCCTAAGTCTGAGAAATAAGCCTGTTCATCCTGCTAGAAACCTGAATCTGTTTCCTTGTTTTGTTTGAAAATGTATATTCGTTGACATGGGGGGGGTGCTGAGCAGAATGAGGGCACCTGCCATTTCCAGCAGTCACTTCCATGGGGCTCTTGCAAGCTGAGAAAAGTCATCCTCAGAGTGACATTCTGTAAGAAAATAAATGCTACCACTCACGAAGACACAGCCTGTGCTCAGAGTTCATACACACACGCAGTAAATCAGCCTGACAGAGGCACCCAGCACACACTTCTGTGAAAGCCCTTCCATGTAACAGGTTTTGGTGATTAGCAGGGAGATGTTGGATTGTGTGGGCAGGGAAAACTCCATCACTTTAGAATTCCTGTCAGCATGGCTCCGGGCAAGCAGTGACTAACTACACGCTTAGTAAAACCTCCTAATTGATGGTTAAAACAAAGGCAATTCAGCGAAGGTTTATGGATTGGACCCAACACAGCATTTCTACGTGTTGACATTGGTCATCGGTGTCTGGGGATCTCAGTGTTCCTTAGCAACCACTCACCACATCTGCACCCTGCCCACTAGACCTAGGCTGGCAGTCAGCACCAATGATTTCAAGCGCTGACATTTTCCTGCCATCTGATCTAGTTACACCTCCCCATCCTATAGTTGAGTTCCATAGTCTGCTAAATTACAACATGAGGCAAAATGTCATTTCCAGTTTTATAAGGTCATGAGCAAGTCTGTATCACCCTTAAATAAAAGCTACTCTTAGCAGGACAGAGGACATTTAGCAATGGCTACAAAAAAAAAAAGCCATTTGTGGTGGATGTCTCATGGCTTGGAATTTTTTTTTAAGACATCCAAAATATCCAACATAAAAATGAATCTAAAAACTCTCTAACCCCCACCTCTCTCTGACAGAGGTGTGCTAATGGGCTGTAATGTTCCACCAAGACACTCCTCAGTCTCCCCTGCAGACAGGAAGGACAAAATGTCTTTTTACTCCCTGTAGAGCACCCTGATAAGAGCCTTCCCGCTACACACACAAAAAATACTCCACGGAAAAAATAATCACCATCAAAGCTGCGTCTCCAACCTAAAAGCTTTTAAGAAAGAAGATACCAGCTTTATACCTGGATCTCTGCCTCCAAACCTCTGCTTTCTTGAGCCCACAGACACCTGGCTCTCTTCTAGACAGGAAGCTGACCGTGATTCCCAGCCCTGAGATCAGGTGAGCATAGCTAGTTCTGAAGAATGAATGACAGAAGGAAAGGGTGGGTTCTACTCCCCATCTAAAGAACAGAAAGGTAGGAATCTGCATGCATGTTGTCATATCAACCAAGGAGCCTGAGGGGTGGGGCTGCAATGCTCTACCGCAGTGGTTCTCAACCTTCCTACTGCTGTGACCCTTTAATACAGCTCCTCATGTCGTGGTGACCCCAACCATAAGATTATCTGATAACTGTAATGGTGCTACTGTTATGAATTATAAATATTGGATATGCAGTATATCTGATATGCTACCCTGTAAAGAGGTACTTTGATACCCCCCTAAAAGGGTTGAGACCCACAGGTTGAGAACCCCTGCTCTAATGGAAGCTGCCTCTGTCCCTTACCACCCGTGTAAGTCACATCACTTGAGGATGATTCAGACTCTGTTGTGCTCTACTAACAAGCCCAGTGACTGCTCCGTCCCATAACCCAGCCTAACTCCATTAGTCCTTCTCAGCCAAATCTTAACATGGTCCGGACTCTGGGAAGTAGTATTGAAACTATGGTTCTGAGAGTTGATCCACTACCTTCCTGAGAGTAAACGACACTCCCCTTTCACTTTGTTCGAATTATGCAGGGTCCCAGGGAGTCCTGCTCTGTATCTGAGCATTGTTTAGAATGACTCCTTAAGGAAGTAGACTTAGGGATCTCAAAAAAACAAAACAAAACAAAAAAAAACGAAAAAAAATGCAAACATGCCCACTCTGCCCCTCCTCTGCTCCTCCTCTCTTTTCCCAGTACCCTGCCCCTGGTGTACATGTATAGAGAAATGTCATTCCAAAACTGGCTCATTCATACTCTATGAGCTTCAAAGGCTGCAGCTGCAGGGAGGAAGTCTTGTTTGGACGGTCATTGTTAGTCTAGAAAGGCACTCAGCTCCGTGAATGAAGCCCACCTACCTTAAAGTATGTAGATATAAGTAGTAACTTCATAAAAAAAAATACACGTACAGAAACGCCTAGAGTAGTGTTTAGTCAAATAGCTAGATATCGTGGCCTAGCTAGGTATATGTACAATGTTTTGCCTACTTGTATGTATCCAACATGCCTGCTGTCCAATGAGGCCAGAAGAAAGCATCAGATCCTCTGGAACTAGAGTTATAGGCAGTTGAGAGCAGCCATGCAGGTGCTGGGAATCAAACCAGGGTCTTCTCGAAGAGCAGTCAATGCTCTTAACCACTGAACCATCTCTCCAATGTTTATTTGTTTGTTTGTTTTACTTTATGTTTTCTTACTATTAAAAACTACACCATATGTTTGGATTTCCTAGACAATACTATGAAAATGCCCCTCATTTTTTTTTGTTGTTGTTGTTGTTGTTTGTATTTCAAGGATTTCTGTCTCTAGTTCCCAATATTTCAAGCAAACTGCGCAATGGGGTGAACAGTTCCCTTTCGCTGGGATCTTTGTTATAGCTGAAGTATGAAAATAAGAGCTGACAACAGTCAGGAGAAACCAAGTAGTGAGACACAGGCAGAGTACTGCTGCCAGGCTCAACTCTGTAAACACATCAGCGTTTGCATGCGATTTCTTCCATAGAAACGCTTTTTGGGAAAAGGAGAAAATCCATCTTAATTTCAATATAAAAATCAGATCTAGGGTTAGCATAAAGATGTTAGGAAAGGACCAAGAAGGCTGATTTCATGAGGGCAAAAAGCAGGATCTCTCCTACACAGCACCTGCATCTGGGTAGCAATCCACGCCCCGCCCACCTTCCCCTCCCCTGGGTCTGTCCAGCCCCATCACTGGTGCCCCGCCCACTTCCCCATCCGCTGGGTCAGCCCAGGCAGTTCTGGTTCCGGGTTCTAGTTCTCTATAAAGCACAGAGCAGCCCAGACTTACTCTTGGTGTGGGGCGCCTGTCTTCGTCAGCAAAGTCAGCACAAAAAACATGAAAATCACAAAGACCGCAAGGCCAACCCAGAATCCAATCACAATGGAATCTGCAAGACAGGTAAGGTGACATTAGTGTTTCACGTGGCTTGAGTTAGCTTACACATTTCAGGATTCTGAGCTTTCTGGAGATGCTAGAGTGCACAGACTATGACAAGAAGTCAGAAACATCGTGATGAGGGTGTGACGTCAGCTCACAGGTTATCCCACGCTTCAATCTTCTACTTTGCTACCTTTGATTAATTTTTTTTATCAGAGATATTTAAAATGAACTGACTTTACTACACTTCATTCCTGTTCATGTTGACACAATTCAGGTCTAGGTCAGTTTTTGGAGAGTACATATATAGATGGCCTCCTGACCACCACTAGCGAATGACTACCTTCTGCTCCCCCCACACACACACCCCACACTCCCACCCCACCGCACCCCCACCCCCCACAATGCTTTATGCCAGCTCTGACACTGAGGCAGGCAGATGAAATTTGCCACACAGGACACTTGGTGCCAGAGGCTGTGAAGGTATCCTGCGGGGCCGGCTTTTATCATTACAATGGCCATCCTTGTCTCCTAATTCACTCCTACTTTAAATCCCATTTTGTCTAGGGGACATCACATCCCTGTGTGTAGCTTTAGCTGCTGGCTACAGGTTCCTCACCCCAACACTTGAACAGACTTTCTCATCATTTTGAAGCTGGTGAAAGTCTGTCTGTCCCAAGGGTCCATGCTTCACACCACCACTTTGTCAAGCTGCCTCTGGTTTTCTTACCTAGCACACTCCTCCCTCTTTAAATCAGAGCACTCCCGGTTTTTGTTTTGTTTCTCTGAACGGGTCTTTCTTTGATCCAGTCTTGAGCAGTACTCAGGGCTGTAGGTGGTTTCTGATTTAAAGAGTTTTCTATTATAGAAGGTTTGAAAGCAATATGAACCTTCTAAAACCTGTACTTCAAACTTTCAACTTCAATCTTTTCCCCAGGTTTGCAAGGTACCACAAGCATGATAAAGAACAGCAAACTGTCTCTTCTAAAGGGCCACTCTGTTACAAAAGGAACAACGATACTATACGTGATACTCAGCTAGGCTCAGATGTTTACTAGGTTAGGTAAGTTAAACCATTTTCAACTTCCATATTTCCAGTTTATAGTAGGTTTATTGGGATATATACCATCGTAAGTCAAAGCTGAACAGCCTCTGTGTATGTGGCTGGGGCACAAGGATTACAGTCAGTTACAGAGCCTTGGACACACACACACACACACACACACAGAGTAGGGTAACACCCTGTTGCGGGGCAACAGGGCTGAGTCAGTCTGCATTTTCAATCTGATTTTCTTACCTAGACTTTAAAAGGTTTGCCCACTCAAGAATATAGTGAATATTAATAGAACTCACTCACTCCCCCACCTCTCTCTTCTCCCTCCCCCCTCCACCCACTCCATCACCCTTTTTTTTTCTTTTTCTTTCCCCCTCCCCTCAGTCTTCCTCCTCATGGCAGCTTCCCTGACCTGTTCCTTGGGACCAATGAACTCACCCAAGAGTGGTTTCCCAATAAAACTACGCTGGCTTAAAATGACTCATTTCACTGGTGAAGAAATAACTTATCAATGTGCATATATACAACACATTTTCTAAAGTAAAATTGACAATCTACTCTGCATAATTTATACTTGTCTATAACATATACTACTGACTAGACAGACATTTGAGATAGTATATTTAGCACTCTGGATAAAAAAAATTAATGTCTCATTCCTAGTATCTTAATTCCAAGTGCTAAAGAAACAGGAATTTCTTTAGAGCTTGGTTTTTAATATAATGGAAATAAGCCATGAAAGTAAGGGGTGCGTGGAGGGGGATCTTCAGGCTGGTTCAGCAGGGAAAAGCATTTGTGGAGAAAGCCTGACATTCTAAGTTTTCGTCTCAGAACCCTTCAAAGCTGGCATGAGAGATCGATCCAACTACACAAAGTTGTGGCTACATGAATGCTAAGACATCTGTGTGCACCCACCCACACATCATACACACAAAAACATACAATAACAATAAATAAAATTAAAAGACAAAACGTGAATCACCAAAAACACACATATTCAAAGACAGCTGACTTGAAATTGTAAATCTCAATTATCTGGGCATGTGCTATGACGAAATGGTGTACAGTTATCTCCAAGTCTATGCTCTGTACTGTAGCAACTGCTTTATAGAAAAAGCCAACTCTAAAGCTATACACCCACGTCATGTTTCAGCCCTACTGTGATGAATGGCGTTTCCAGACCTGTTTATTGAGAAGGTCTCTCCTGCAAACCTCCCTTTGCTTAATAAGCCTTCCCAACGACTTAAAAGGAAGAGCTGAGACGCTGCCTTGCGGTTTCATCTCTACTAAAATGCTTCTGTGAGATCCTGATACATCTTAAAGCAACCCTCTCCTCTTCCACATTCAGGCTGTCTTTAGAATCCCGCCTTAAGGATTTAAAATGACCAATAAAATTGTATGTTAGCATATATAAGAGACAGAAGACGAAATTCATGTACTGCATTTCACTGTGTTGGTTTCTCTGGGTGTTTGTGTGTAAGAAGCGTTTGACTGGGATTGCTACTGTAATTAAAAGCTGATTTCCCAGAGAGGCCTCAGTACCCAGTCTCTTTGTTCAGATTCTACAACAGCAGCTTTTAGCTTTCGTAGGAATGGTGGACTGGTCCCCAGCATGCTTCCTCCTTCCTAAGCAGGGAGTGGGCAGAGCGGGAGGAGGGGGATGCTGAGACTAACTGTAACACAGGAGCAGAGACTGCTGGTACTCTTTATGAACATCCTACAGTCCCGCATCTCTAAAACCTTGGGGTTAACCCTGCTTCTGAGGCCACAGCTTCACTAGTAGCCTCTCCTGGGCCCTCTTCAGGACTCTGAACCTCATGCTGCCAAGCCTGTTTCTCTCCATGACCTAACCTGAGGTTTTCACCTCAGCTGAGGGTGCACTCTCCCCAATGCCTCCCTTGAGCTTTCTTTGTGGGAGACTCCAACCCTACCCCACAGTACCAAGCCTCGGGCTTTTTCATTGATCCTTCCATGTCTTCAAAAACCACTCCCTTATGAGGGACTTACACAGTATCAAGTTCAGGTGCCAACTTGGACTTAGCCTTGGACCCTGTGAGCCACAGCCTCTGTGGGCTGACCATGAGGAAATCTTCCCAGATTTTACCTCAATGATCCCAGTCTCAGTCACGGCTGATTTTTATTAGCTCCAGCTAACCTTCGTCCATTTTCCCAATACAACAAAGGTTTCACTTCCATGGTCTTAATTCAGATGCATCACACAAACAGCTCAGTAGAGTCTTTGCTTCCCTCTGAAACTTCAAAATCCAGACCTCCATTATGTGCCCTGTGCTCTGCATTACTTTCTGAGTTCCCAAGATAGCGCTCTGAGCTCTGAGCACTCAATGGCTTTTTTAACCCAAAGTTCCAAAATTCTCCTCTGCAGTCCTCCAAAATACAGTCAGACCCAAAACAGCACTCCTCAATTTTCCCAGTACCAATTTTTCTGCTAGTGTCCTCCCAACCCCAACCCCCATGATAAACACTGACTAAAACCGACTTGGGGAAGGATGGTTATTTTACTTTATATGTTGCAGTCCAACATCAGGGGAAGTCAAGGCAAGAATCTAAGAACTCAGAACCTGGAGGTAGAAACTGATGCAGAAGCCAGAGGAGGAACACTGCTTACAGGCTTGCTGGAGGCCACCTGTCAGGGGTGGCACCACCCACAGTGAGCTGGCCCCTCCCACATCAATCATTAATCAGGAAAATGCCCTGCGGACTTGCCCACAGGCCAACTATAATGGAGGCGAGTCCTCGATTGAGGTTCCTTCTCCTCAGGTGACTCTATACACACACACACACACACACACACACCAGTTTCCAATTCACATCCACTCACCAGCCTCTTAGCCTTGAAAGACATTAAAACCTTCATCCTTCTCCCCATGCCTTCTTGGATGTATGGTTAGTATGTTAATTCTGCGGGTACAAAACTGAGTTCTGATGTTCCTCACTTCTGAGACTCACCTTTCCCTTATACTTCTTCATCCCAGTTAATGGCAACTGCATTCTCTCAGTCACTCTGGTCCCAAAGCTTCAAAGCAACCTTGCTTGTTCTCTTAAGCCCATGGTAAGCCATGGACAATCTAGAGACCCCACGTCTATAAACATCTGAAATGCACGTGGTTCTTGCCAGTCTGCCTTAGCCTGCACTTTGGTACCTCAATGACTATGATAAGGAGTCCCTCACTGGTCCTTGAGGCAAAGGCTATCCCTCTGTTTCAAACCTTGTACAGACTTCTCAGAGATAAGCCAATAGTCTCAGCCTAATCTCTATGCCCTCCCCTGACCTCTGTGCCCCACCTCGATTTCTATGCACCACCCCTTGTGTCCTGCTCTCCTTGACATCTCTACACTTGGTTTCGGCCACTCTGTATGGAATTCATTCCCCTGTCGCTAGGATGATCTCGGTTTTCCTTGCATGGTCTAGTTCATTCCATCCATGAGACACTTACTGCCATGGTCTTCCCTCAGACATGGGCTCAATCTCAATGAACCTCCAGATCATTCTCTCAGATCTCTCCCTTCCAGTAAGGCCTTCCATGGATAGCCACAAATCCAAGCTGTTGGAGGTGCCTTTGAATTTTCAGCTCACTGCTGTCTCTCCAGCACTTAACATGATACCGTGTATCATAGGGGCCTAGGAAATATGCCGAAGTCATAAATGAATAGTTTCCACTCTAAGTAGCAACCATGATTTCTGTAGGTTGAAGAGCTTCATTTGCGGAGCCAGCTGCCCTTGCCAAATGTGGTACAAATAAGGGGAGTTAACCATAATGGCCAGACTTGCTCACAATATACATTTCTTCTGAAAATGCTCTGTTGCTATTCTATTTGCCAGACTAGCTTAATAGGTTGCCTAGTAAAACAGCATGCCATATTAAAGGGTCACTGGTTTATTTAAATGGAAGTCCAGGAGCTGGAGAGATGGCTCAGCCACTAAGAGCTCATGTTCTTGCGGAGGACCAGGTTCTGATTCCCAGCACCCATATGATGGCTCACATTTGTCTGTAACTTCAGTCACACGTGACTTGACGCCCTCCTCTGGTCTCTGTGGTCACTAGGCACACATGACATATGGAAGTAGGAGCAGACAAAACACTAATACACACAACATAAAAATAATAAAATGAAAGACTGTACAGATGTTCACATTCCCATGGTTGACATTTCTGGGGCTTTTTACTTTCCTGTATATGGAGGGAACATGTCTTTTTATGTTCAGTTCCCCTCTCAGGCTCATACACTGTCAGGTTCTGTCTCTAGAGCCTTTACCTTGGTAAGATTTCTTACACCGGAACAGTGAATATTCACCTGGATTTTTTCATTATTTTCCCAATGTTAGTGTTGAAACAAAAGCATTCTCATTAACATTACAGTCATTAAATTAAGTATGCAATGTGCCACAGCTCTGCCTTGGTTTTTAAAGGAAGTTCTTTTTTCAAACAATAATCCTTTCTATAACAACAACAACAACAACAAAAATGGTCAAAAGAGAGCTTCTTTGGTAGTCTCTGGAAACACACCAATGGAAATTACAGAGGCAGGCTGTCTGTGGAGCCCCCTCAGACCAAGAGAAAGAGGCAGGAGCAGGCTGACATGTCCCAGATAGAAAGGCTCACATCACAGAGAACAGTATGGCTCTCGGCCAGTCTCTCCCATTTCCACCAAAATTCAGAACAGACAAGTGTCCTTTCCTAGAGGTTATCCCATTAAAAACAACAGATTAAAGAACTTAGTGAGTTTAGGAGGGTGATTTCATACTCAGACCACAAGATCCTTCATCAGATAATTCATGACAGCCTATCCTAAGAGGTTTGTGCCCTCTCTTTTCATCCCCATAAATACTGAACAGATGTCAACAACGGAAGGAGAAAAGCATTTCATTATTACTGCAAGTGTGAAGGATATGTGATTTAGCTAGTGGCTTTGCTTAACAAAACAAATGTAAAGATCCCTCCTTGCAGCAAATGGGTGCTGCTACATATTACTGTAACATATCGATGCTGCCAACAGGAAAGGGAAGGAGGGAGGGAGGAAGGGAGAGAGGGAGGGAGAGAGGGACGGACAGAGGGAGAAAGGAAGCATGACTGTACTATTCAATGTTCCACTTGATCTGGACCACTTAAGAGCCTAAAATGAAGGGCTGGAGAGATGGCTCAGCAGTTAAGAACACTCAGTGCCCCTGTAAAGGACCCCGGTTAATTTCCCTGATGAAGTAATAACTACCTATAACTCCAGTTCCAGGGGAACTGATTTCCTCTTCTGGCCTCTGAAGGAACCACCTACCTTCACACAAATGCACGCACGCACCCACACACACACACACACAAATCAATGAATCATAACAAGTCTAAAATGTTTGCAGTGTCTGTGTATTCAACTGGGAACAACTGGACAATGCAGACATGTTACAGCATGACCCAGAGTGGGCCACAGTGCATTGTCTAATATCAATTCTGCCTCCCCAAAACAGGATGCTTCATGTGAGCCAGAAAGCACTGGGCTGGAGCAGAGCGAAACAGTAACCTTTCACAGAACGCCATGGTTTCGCAGCAGATCAATAATCACCCAATTCCCTGCATCATAACCGATGCCTATGATGGCCTCTATGGCCTCTGATGGGAGGCTGTCCTCATCTGTCTCTGTGAGCAATGCTCTTCACAAATCTAGAATTTCAACAGGATTTTTGAAATGCTTTCTAATATTTATTTTATGTGTATTGGTATTTACCGTGTGTGTGTGTGTGTGTGTGTGTGTGTGTGTGTGTGTGTGTGTGTCTACCAACTGTGTAGAGTACTCATGAAGGTAAGAAGAGGTTTTTGTATCCTTTGTAGCTGGGGTTACAGATGATTGTGAGCAACCATATGGGTGTTAGAAATAAAACCAGTGCTTTAAGGACTGAGCTGTCTCTTCATCCTTCCGGTGGGTTTGTAAATGGTATTACTGGCTATTACAAGTGGAGAGTATTTATGGAATCGCTCTAGAGCCTATTTCTATACACATCTTGTTGTTGGTTTGTGGGTTTTTTTGTTTCTTTTGTTTGTGTGTTTTTGTTTTGTTGTTGTTGTTTTGCTTTGTTTGTTTATTTTTTTCTTTTTTCAAGACAGGGTTTCTCTGTGAAGCCTTGCCTGTCCTGGAACCAGGCTCTATAAACCAGGCTGGCCTCGAACTCACAGAGATTTGCCTACCTCTGCCTCCCAAGTGCTGGAATTAGCTAGACAGATCCACTGCCTGGCAGGACCTGGAATAGTTAATTCCTTCTTTAAAAATAATAAATAAATAAATAAATAAATAAATAAATAAATAAATATCTCTTTCTAAAGCTAAAACACATATTCACACTCGTCCACAGTAGTGTTTGTTGTTTTAAGTCCCCTTTGTAAATCAGAATTACCAATGCCCCCATATCATACCACCCCACAGAAACTAGCCAATGTGAAAGGGATGCTTTGTATTTAGAGATAGAAGAGTATTCTGTAAGAAGATAGGATGTTAGGAGAAAGCAGTCACAGGGGACTTGACAGGTTAATACAAACGGAGGACAGTTACCCCAAGGAGTGGCACAAGCCTTACATTTATGAGCCTTCAGTCCTTCGAAGGAAACCGGTCCGATCTCATAGTATTCATATTCCCAGGTGTAGTCGGGGTTAGATGGTGACTGTGGGGATGTCCTGTTAGAAGCCAACCTCTGGGCAGACATCTCCATCCTGCACAAAAGGAGAAAGGCAAGTGCAGAATTCGTCAGTTCATTCACAGATGTACAGCTACCCTGACTGATCTTGGATGCATTCATGCGTTTGGGATCAAAGAGCCCCTCGCTCTTACCACTAGGTCACCAGCTGCCCACCCCCTATACCATGTAGCCTTTATTTTCTTCCATTTCCTACGAGACTACAGTACATATTACATTAGACACTCTGTGTGTGCTGTGAACTATACTGAATGCTTGGCATGCAATCAATGTGAACTCCTGGGAGATGAACAGGGAAAGGGAAAGAAGAGACTATGTCAGAACCTCTGAGACTGTACATCTGCCTCACCACCTAGACCTGTGTGGAATAAGTAACATCAGTGTCAGAACTGAACTGCCAGTGTGTCTGTCTCGGGCACACTGTGTAGCAATGCAGATGTACAACCCAGATGTCAGGAAACGGAGTAAAAGGAGGACGGGAACTCCGTGAGGAAGATCCTCAGGAGAAGCCCATTCGCTTTTGCTTACTTCCAGAGGAAGCCATACTTTCAAGATTTCCCAAATAACTTCTTTGTCTATTGGGTTATTTTAAGTATCTTCTTTGGGAGATGTTAGAATGTGTGCTTGGGATAATTACAGCCTATGTGTGATTACCGCATGTAATTACATCTAATGTAAGTGTGACTCCCTGCTAGGACAGAACGACAACGTTATATAGATCAGGACCCTACAAACAGATGGACAAACAGAAATCATTTAGGAGAAAGTTTTGATAAAACACTAATCAAAATCAAGATTCCCTGAGCAATCTCTACCACCGAACTTCTGTCTTTAAAATAACTCTCTGGAACTTTGGCTGCCTGCCAGGGTCTTAGAGTCACCCATAGCCAACTTTAGGATACAGCCACAGGGACAGCTAAGCAAAACCATTACCACCATTCTGGCCCAAGGCTTCTATCTCCCCTTTCATTGACTCATCTCTCCCAGTCCCTAGACCTGGGACCCACAGTGTTGAGGACTCAGAGTCAGCACAGAACACACCCAAACACCACATCCTCAGCACAAAAGAGACTTATTAATCCAGAGGGGACAAGCTGGGGGTTGCCTGTGGATCAGGGAAAGACAGCAGCAGGAGTCTCTGCAGGAGTGGTTTTAACAAGATAAAGGGGAGATCTGTGCTAGGATGAATTGGTAAGTCCTGATTGAACATGATAGCCAGTGTGGCCAAAGAATGAATTACTAGACCTTGATGCTTTGATAGCTGGACCTTGGAGTTTTAGTCAAACATAAGGAAGTGGCCAAATCAGGAAATAGACCTTGATGGCTAGCTTCCGGAATGTGATCTGTGGAGCAAAGGAAAGGGCAAGACCTGCCAGTGCCTAGTTTGTAATGCTGGTGAGAGAGCCCTTCACAAACTACCCAGTTCCACAATGTCCAAAAAGTAAAGTGCTGTGGCCCACAGATACCTGCCAGGGTCAGGAATTAAGTCACTCCCCTCAAGGTAGAAAGGCAGAGACAGAGATGTCAATACTTACATAGGAAAAAAAGGCTCCATAAACCAAAAGGACTGCTGACCTTCACATAAGTTAAATGTTCAATTACTCATCCCATGTCATCTTAAACTAATGTAAAACCATTACCACACGTGGTGATTAATCTGATCAACTTGACTGGATTTAGAATCACCATGGAAACAATTCTGGGTATAACTATGAAGATGTTTTCAGACAGGCTTAAGTGAGGAGGGATGACCCATCAACAATTAGGTGATGTTGGGCCATGGGTGGGGTCCCAGACTGAATAAAAAAGGAGAGGGCAAACCAGGCACTAGCATGGCTCTGTCTCTGCTTCCTAGCTGTGGATGCAGTGTGACAAGTGCCTCATGCTCCTGCCTGCCCGCCACCATGTCTTTCCTACCCTCCAACTCTGAGTTGGAATAAAGCTGGCTGTCCTTACTTTGTTTCCCTGGGTATTCTGTCACAGAACCAAGAAAAATAGCAGACGCAGAAGGTTGGTACCATAGAATGGGGCCTGCTGTCATAAACCTAGCCTTGTAGTTGTTCAGCATCTGAATCTCTATCCCGCTTCCTTCCCTCTCTCCCTCCTTCCTTCCCTCCCTCCCTCCCTCCCTCCCTCCCTCCCTCCCTCCCTCTCTCCCTCCCTCTCTCCCTCCCTCCCTTCCTCCCTCTTAGTTATCCCTTTTCACTCCAATGGTAGTTTCCAAACATAATCCCCCTCCCCAAACTGTCACTATATTTTTCTACCTTCTCTGCCATTACAGCTTTGGCTGATATCAGCTGCCTTCCTACTGACTGACTCTAAGTGGGGGCAACTTTCAGGGGCCTGATTCTTTCCCCTAACCACTGTTTTCTGCCTTAGGAGCTGTGTGCTGCCCTGACTGGCCCAGGCTCCAGCCAGCCAGCTCCACAGTTCCCAGTCACCAGACCAAGGCCAGCCATGTATGCTTACAAGCAGACATTTCAAACTTTCCAAATTGTCACCAATAACTTATTTTTTTTTATAACATATGTCACATATTTTGGGCCTTATCAAAAAAAAGTCCTGTGTTCCAATTTAATGTCATTTTTTTTTATTCAAAAAAGTCAATCTCAGGATTTCGAAAATGACCAACAACCAGCTTTTCTACTTCATAACAAAGTAATTCATGATTCAAGGCATCACTCTTACAGCTTTTGCTACAAACCTAATTTCGAAGGGAAAATCTTTTTTTAATAGATTGGCAAATTAAGTTGTTAATGTTACTAAGTCTCATGATGTTAACCAACAAAATAAACTGAAAAAAAATAGTAAGAAAAAAAAAACATTCCACAGATGGAACAAGACGCTTCTTAAAGGACTCTCAGTGAGCCCTGACTTTGACCTAAGCTAAGATGGCTGGAGGCACTGCTGGCGAGCCTGAGTGAGCTTCTGGTCTGAGTAAGTACATGAGGTATGTGGGACATGAAACAGTGCGTGTGACTATGTGTTCAGTGGTTGACAGCTACTTTGATTTGCTTCCGGTAACATTTACAAACACTAGCCAAAGAGATTATGTTCAATCAGAATGGGCAGCTGGCAGACTGGGATGTGTTTAAAACTGTTTGTGCTTTGTGCCTACGCTATATCTAAATGTCAAAAAATAAATTATTGATTTTTATAAATATTGGCCTGCTCATTCTAATATTTATAACTTATTTTATATGTTTTCCTTTTGGGAAAAACTACCTGCTGGGTAACCATCATCTCAACCACAGTCTTTAAATTGAACTACAAATGCCTTTCTTTTCAGCCACCTTCATGTCTTTAAAATACACTGTTTTAATCATTCTGATTTCAAGATGCCACATACGGAAGTGTTATTTCAAGCACAAAGGACAAAACTGAAAGGTTCTGACTGGATCACAATGGCTAATAGATCCGTACACTGGGAAATTCCTTCCTTGAGCCTCTGGTAGTTATTTCTCCCTCCTATAAGCCTGTCTTCCTGATTATTCAACCTCATCATTATCAAATAGAAGTTCAACTCTTAACCATGGGCCTCCAAAAGCTACATCTCGGGTAGGACTCAGCAAGTGGCTCCTGGCCAGTAGCCCTTCAACCATGGACATGTGTAAGTGTAGAGAGGAAAGAAGTTACAAGTCCCAAGCTAAAATTATCTAGGGCTATTTAGCTTTTTAATAGTCAATCCATTACCTTCTCTTGGTATTATTGTGCCTAAAACTATACACTGAAATTATCTCCAGAGACATATATAAAAATCCAGTTCTTTTAAGACTTACCTTCACACTCTAAGGCCTTTCCGACAGCCTTCCTTAACTCACCTTCAAATGTCAAATCCATACCCTTCCGAGTGCTGCCTCACCAACTTCACTCATTCTTCTTAACAAATTGAATCCAAAAGTTTCACAACTCTTCATCTACACAGGTTACTAAATATGTTTTTATTCTCAACTCCATAGCCTCTCCCTCCGTTCTGCAAAGTGATCTATCCAGAATGCTGTCAGTCATGCTACTTGGATTCGTGAACACACAGATACTGGACTACAACCCAGAGATCGACAACCAGTTACACATGGGATAAAAGGTGGGAGAGCTCAACCTAATTCCCCATGTCTATGTCCTTGTTCAGCTCAAAGCACTCAGACTTGAGTCGGCACCATGTGCCCCATGTCCTGCAACCCCTCCTGTCCTCTCAAGTCATTTTATGTATTTGTAAACGACAACAACAAAATCTGGCAATGTTGGATTATTATTAATGTTGTTTCTTTAAGACACTGGCTATTCTGCAGCCAGATCTCACAGCCCAAAGAAATCAGGCCCTGTCAGTCTCCTGAGGACATTGAAATATACAGGTCTCAACCGGAAAACGCAAACCTGAGGAGACCTGACCTCCATGGAGCCCTGGTTCCTAACAGATGGTAGCAATGACAGAGCAGTGTAAAGATGTATGTCCCTCCATCTCTGCAATCCTTGACCTTGAGTTATGACAAGTTCATGATGCCTTTAAGCCATGGGTTCCCCTGCACAACATTATAAAAGTCAGACATTCTCTTTGTTGCCAGGGATATGGGTCTTCCTGATGCTCACTCTAGGACCTGGGGTCCTTCCTAGAGACACAAGCAAGTGTTTCTGTGTTTTCTCAGAAATTCAATATGAAACCTGTCTCCTGAGGTGGTTGTCTCTCTCACACACCCACTGCTTCAGTCCTCACTTCTCCTCTATTTAACAAGGACGATATGAAGATGTGTACTTTGGCAAGGTGAGGCGGGTGAATATGGACAAAATTGTAGGCAGGGTAGCCAGTACGGATGTGTTATTAAACAGGTTACTGCAATTAAAGAGAAGTCAGACAACATCTGGAGGTATCAGGACATGGCAGCATCTTCCACATGATGGTTTGACAGGCATACAAAATAAAAGAGCAACAGGGTCATGGAGGCTTGGACCAAGGTTCCAGGTAGCGACTGAGGCCAAGAGAATAGAGCACGATCAGATTCCTTGTAAAGAGGCCCCGAG